CAAAGATTGACGTACACGCTCAAAGATATCAGGTGTGTTACGTATTGCGTCGCATGAAGCAACTATTCGATTCCTCAAATCGTTCTCAATTGGGGTGGTATAAATCAATGATTTCAGATGCCCCCAAAGAAAATAATCCAAAGGATCTAAGATCTGGTGACCTAGGAGACTTTGAGTTTGACTTTGTCGCTTTGTTTACGGTTGTGCAAATGGTAACTTACATGAAACAAGGCATATTTATGCAGAAAGTTATCTCCAACGCAATTTACCGTTTCGTCAAACATTTGCGAACATTCACCTGTATATTCGGAAACTAAGCCGTTTAGGACACATGTTTATATGGACTTTTTTACTTGAAATAAATCAAAGAATCGCTCTGTTGAGTATGGCAACATACTTAACTAATACCCTGTATATTTAATTTATACGATAAGTATAATAAAAAAATCATCGAAAGGTTGGAAAAAGATATTGCTGCATTCAATATAATTCTCACTCTGTTTATTAAATATTTGAGTTATTATTGTTCTTACAATCAAAGACTCGAAAGAGCTGGAATTTCAGTTCTGTTAAAGGCTAAAAATATTGCATAAAAATTCACTCCAGCGTGAAATTCTCATGAAATAGGAGAAACATGAAGAAAGATGACGGAAATATTTATTAGTTGCCGTTTATTAAGTCTCACCCAAGGTCTTACCTATAAATCGCACGTGCGAATACGCGAGGGGAATGGCAAAAATCCCGTCGCTTTCTTCAGCGAAAGATTGGGTCAAAGAGCGAATATCTACAAAATGCGCAATTTTATCGGGATTCCGACGATATCGAATACCCATTTTCAGTACTCGCCTACTTTGCACATGTCGGCAGTTCGATTTTTATACACGTCACACGAAAGAAATATTTCCCGCCATTTATTTTTCTTGATTACATCTCGGATATTCGCAGTCAGACGAGATGAAACTGTAATGAATGAAAACAACTCTTCTCTTGAATACATCCAAAATTGAAACTGTCGTAGAGAAAAAAAAAAATTAAATAAAATCAACGCAATTGTTATTAAATATCACAGTAACAACTAACAATAATAATAATAATATACAGAATGATTTGAAAGTTGAAAATCGAAATCATTTCTAACTATTTTTATTTTAAAATTATGTGGCACAGAAACATTGAAAAAAAGTGTTTAATTTTAAGATATTAAAATGTTTTAGTCTTGTCTCTATTTTTTAAACACTTAGATGTTTTAGTTTTGAACTTTTTTCAATAAACAAAACACTGTGTTTGAATTTATAAAATACATAGTATTTTCAATCCAAACACTTCATGTTTTATTTTATTGAAAAAGTTTAAAACTAAAACATCTTTGTATTTTCAATCCAAACACTTGATGTTTTGTTTATTGAAAAAGTTTTAAACTAAAATATCTTTAAGTGTTTAAGAGAAATGGAGACAAGAATGAAACATTTTAATATCTTAAAATTAAATACTTTTTTTTCAGTAAACGACGTTGTAATATTAATATTTTTTACCTCGCAAAACTTTAATTCCATTTCCCGTTTTCTTAAATCTTTTCATCTTTTTTTAATACTTGTAACAATGGAATTGTTACGTTGAACTGAAATTATTACGAGTGCTATTATTGATCTCGCTACAATTATACCACCCATTTTCTGGAAACCGCTGAGAGATTAAAAGTCAGATTAGATCCTTAATTCCAACGTCAACAATCTTAAATTATAACAAAGAAAAGAAAAAGGAAAAATACGTGAATAAATCTAAGAAGCTGGATACGCTATGCAAATGAATTTTTGCGGAAGAAAATTGCTTTCATGATAACAGCGTTGCTGAATGCAATAAAAATTCTTAATGATACATTTTACATCAATTAATATTAAAACCATTTTCATTAACTTTAAAGAATTTTAACACGCTTAATTTTCTTTTTCTGAAACGTTTATTTGAAATTAATACTTTCGTATGAAATTGCTCGTATGAAGCAAAAAAAAGAGAAACGTCTATTTTTTAAGTATTACATTTATAAAATAAATTCGATCTATACGAGTACATGTATAAAGTCTAAATATTTAAAAACAAATAAGATGTAAATTTTTACAAAAAATATAACTGCGCTGAATTAGCCAAAAATTTATAATAGAAAATCTGTTCCATAAAATATTCGATAAAATTAATATATTAATGTTATAAAAACATACAATAAATATCTTGGAACTCTAATTTTAATTTAAATGAATGTTAGTTCAACATCTTAACATTCGGAACTGTAAGAGCGCTTCGTATTTAATATTTAAATATCTTGGAATTTATAATTTTGCGAGGGATGTGCAAAGAAAAATCTACCTACACGCAATGATACAAGATATACATGCTGGTATCGAAATACCTTGCTTTGAGAAATAGCAAGAATCTCATTCGGGTTCGGTATTCCGGTTCGTCGTCGTTGGGCGAATCTGATTTAACGAAAATTGGTCGTTCGACAAGATTTCACCACAGGACAGAGGCAGATGGCGAGGAAGACGAAGGAAAGAATAGCAAGAGATAGCACAAGGAACAGTGGGCGGAAGACTCTGAAAATAAATAAATGATCTGCCCTGTATACACGCGACATTCCTCCGGAGGACGTTTCCGACGAACCGCGACATTTCCGCTTTTCCCTCGTCCAATATCTCGACGATAGTTCGAGCATGGAAAAAGAACTCCGGCGCTCTTCCGTCAGAGG